CAGAGGAATCAGCCAGTGCAACGGCCCTAATGAAGGATAGCATGTGGCATGTCTAAGAAAGAAAGAAAAGCCAGTGTACCCAAAGGCAGTGGGTGAAGGAGGAGACGTAAGAAAGACTGGCAGAGCAGCACAGGGCCAGATCCAGAACCACACAGATGACCACTACGAAAACCGACTGCAAGGTGGGCAAAGATAAAGCTGGAATAAAGTTATTAAAAGGCTACTGGCCCAATTGTTATCATGTATGCACTAAGACACTCTGCTCCATGGCTGGGGGCACATGGGAGGCCCAGGTTGGATTCCAGCTCAGCCTAAAGGCCCGGTACGGCAGTTTGTGCCTGTAATCTCGGTCACTTAGGAGGCTGAGGCTGGAGGACTGTGAGCTCGAGACTGGCCTCAGCAGAATAATAAGACCCTGTCTGCAAGAGCTGGGCATGGTGACTTGTACTTGGAGTCTCAGCTGGAGGCTGAGTAGGAGGATCATGACATGGTGAGATACTGTCCCCCCAAAAAACCTACTGCAATAAGGAAATTGAGAAATAATTAGAACTTAAACAAAGGGAGTAGGCATGGTGAGTTGAAATATGGACATATTTTGAAGGAAAGGCCAGCAGGATTGTCAAGGATTAGATGTATGGTAGGAGGTAAAAGAAGTGGTTAAGAAGTTACGAGGTTTTTGATCTGAAGAACTTAAAAAAAAATGTTGTCCTTAACTGAGACACTAAAAACTATAAAAAGGGTTTGATTCTGGAAATGAGATCAGTGTCCGTATTGTACCTGTTCCTTCTAATATAGCCTGATAGATTTCCAGGCACAGAGACAGCATCGGCATTTAAATGTGTTGGTCTGGAGTTTAGCGAGAATCCAGTTCCAATGTAAAATTTGGAGTCAATAATGGCCTGACAATAATGAAAGTCAAAACTGGATGACACCCCAAGGAAGCAAATGTACACAGAGAAGCTGGCCGAGAACTGAATAGTCTGGTCACTCCAAAATAAAAGGTGCAGTAGATAAAAAAAGAAAAAGTAAAGGAGACCAAGACGCAGCACCAGAGAAGAAAATCATGGGTGTGACACAGTGGAAGACAAGTGAGGACGTGATTCAGAAGGAAGAGGTCAGTTGCGTCAATACTGATGAGCGAGCAATCATATGAAGATCTAGAACTAAGAATTGAATTTAGTTCTCTGGCATATGCTCTTGGTAAAGAGTATTTTATTTTACTTTATTTTTTTGGAGAGAGATTTTTGCCATAGGGCACATGTGCTCGCCAGAGAGACAGAGAGAAAGAGAGCAAGAAATCTCCCCCCTAGCGGGTTGGCCTCAATGCCTTCTCCTCCATTTTCCTCCTGGGATTTTGGTCACACATGCACACACATCCAGTGCCAATTTCATACTGGAGGTCAGGGACTCGAAGGGTGCTGAACTACATGGGTGTCCAGCAACATCACCACTGCACACACATCCAGTGCCAATTTCATACTGGAGGTCAGGGACTCAAAGGGTGGTGAACTACATGGGTGTCCAGCAACATCACCACTGCACCGTCTGCTGGTCCTGGTTAGAGTAGTTTTGATGGAAGAACAATAATGGCTTTATGAGAAAAGACCAGAACAATACAGACAACTGCTTTACGGAGTTCTGCTATTGGAACTGCTATTAAAAAGTCATTACAAATGGGGTTGGCAGGTGGCGTGGTGGTTAAGGGCGCTGAACTACCACATAGCTGACGATGGTTCAAGTCCTGGACCTGGCAGCTTGCATTCTCATTTTCTCTCTCTCTTTCTCTCTCTCTGTCCCTCTCTGGTCAAATTAAAATAAATAAATAAATACAGTTAAATAAAATAATTCTTTTTAAAAAAAGCAAAGTCATGACACATTTTTACATAGAAAAACAAAAAATATGTCATGACTTTTCTGGAGACCAAATTTAAAAAGGACTAGGTAAATAGGACAGTATCTAGAAAGGAAACAGTGCTATCACCCCGTCAGGATGGGCGAGGGGATGTCTGCATTGCTCGTGAGAATGATTCAGCAGACGGAAAAATGATGATGATATCGGGAAAGGGGAGAATTACCGGAGCACTGTTACTGAGTAAGGGAGGAGGGGCAAGATCGAGGACACACCTGGGGTGTTAAGTCTGAGGTAAGAGCAGGAAGAGTAAATATAAATAACACAGCAGTACAGTCCCCAAAGCATTCTCATACAGGAAGCAGTGACAGAGGAGCGTTTCAGCGTTCCTATGTCAGATTAAAACGATCTTCATTTTCACTGTCTTACAACTGAAATACTTGGTTTTCTCCAACTATGAAAGCAGGTAATAGATCACAATGGTTTTGGTAGTACCTGTAACTTTATCAATAAGAAAAACACAGATTTTTTTTATGCAACTTTCATATCACAATGGTTAGTTTCTATCTCAAATTATTATGTATACTCCTAACAACTTCAAAATTATGGTAGTTGCAACTAGAGCTTGTGATCTGATGCATTAACAAAAAGAAACACATCAGTCATTATATCACAAATTTTACCAGTAAATAAGAGAAAATGCTCAAGTTCTCAAAAAACTAATTTGAGATGTGATACTATAATAGGTTACATACGTTGTTTTAAATTCCTCTTAATATGAGATTTTTTGAAGATATCAGAAAATGGTTTAATAAAATAAAAAAGGTTAAAATACGGAATACTTGGCTAAGCTATACTGCCAGGTGTATGTATGGGACTTACTACTACTGAGCAGCTGTGGCACTTGTAAGAGGCAACAAAACACTAAATCCACTGAACTTTTAACTTGCACAAGAGCCCAGTTTCACAAAAACTCTCTCGACAACTGTGACTCATGTTTCCCGTTTTTTGGTTTTAACAATGGAAACGTCACCATTTCATTACTTTCATTTATCTGGAAATTTTACTTTTTGCAGTTAACTACAATATTTCAGTTTTTATTTAACTAAAATGTTCACACAAAAGGGGACGAGCAGGTAGTGTAATGCTTACATTGTTGGGCTACCACACTGTCTACTGCAGTTCGAGTTCTGGAACTGCATTTCTGACTTGAAACTTATGCCAGACATGTGTGCATGTGCAAAATCCCAAAAACAGAAGAGAAGGGACCGTGGCGTGGCCATCCCCCACACAAGATGAGTTCTCAGTTTCTGTCTCTCTATCTGGTGAACACACATACCCTATAGCAAAAAATTATCTTAAAAAAAAAGAAATCATATAAAAAAGGGCATGATTCCTAAGCTTGATGAATTTTCATAAGTGAACACATCCTTGTAACTAGCATTGAAATCAATAAATGGAACATTATCAGAAAGAGAGGAGCCCTCTCGTGCTTCTTCCTCATCATTACCTACATAATCCTTCCAAAGTAAGGGCATTTCCTCCAAAATGCTGGGTTACTGTGTATGCGTAGACTACTTCTAGGGGATACAACCAAGCACATTTTGCAGGAGGCTGAACCAAATTAAGACTCCAAAGAGCAGTACATGAGAGTCACGGCTGACATGCATCTTCACAAACGGCACTGGCTGTGTGCCTACTTGTTTATTTTAGCTACTCCTGGGGAGGTGTGGTGGTGTCAAATTATAGTTTTGTTCAGCATTCCCTTGGTGATTAACAGAGCTGAATGCCTTTCTATGTGTTCAGTAAAATCAGACATTTTTTATAAAGTGCTCAGCCAGTTTTTCACATCCTTCGAAATTCAATGATCTGAAACTGGTTCTGTAGTGCAGCAGTAAAGCACTGCTTTTCAAGAAAAGCTGGATCCCACATGGTGATCACGATTCAAATCTCAGCCCGCTCTGTCTGTAATGCACGGGCCTCCACATGACAGCCCACGATCTGATGATGGACTGGAGGACCGGAAGAAAGAAACTGGCACGACCAGATCCTGTGGAAGGTGCACTTCTTTTTTTCCCCTCTGTCACATGAAAAAGTAAATAAATAAACCTTAACTTTTTCTTTTGTTACCTGCCTTTCACGTACTGTTTGGCCAAGTTCTTCTTATTTCTGGATACGAATCCTTTTTAAATATATGCATGACAATCTACCTTTGCCAAACCTGGGTTTATCTTTCTTTCCATTTGATTAGAGGTATCTTTTTGGCAAATAAAGTATCTTAATATTTTTCTTTTAATTTTGACAGAGCACATGCACTTGCAGCAGAGACAGAGACAAAAGAAAAGTGAGAACACACCCCCTTTAGGGGATGGCCATGCCACAACCCCTTCATTTTCCCCTTTTTCGATTTTAGCACACATGCACCTGATGTGTTTCTCAAGCCCCTGTCTGGTACTTGAACCCCAAGGTGAGTCATTTGGGACCCACCTTAACCACCATGCCACTCACTGACCCAAGAGGTTCTTAATTTTAACGTAGTTCAATTTATCAATTATTTCTGTTATGGCTACCACGTTTTTATATCCTAAGAAATCCTTGCCTAGCTAACAATCACGAAGATACGCAGCTATGCTTTCCTCTAAAATCTTTAATGTTTATGGTTCCAAGTTACATTAATGATTCATCTTGAATTAATTTTTTATACATGATGGGAAGTAGATGTTGAAATTCATTTTTTCTCATATGAAAATCCAGTAAAATCAACACTCATTTATTAAAAATACCATACTTACCTCACTACAGCTCTAAGGTCATTTTGTCACAAATCGAATGACTGTAGAAGTGTGAGTCTCTTTCTAAGACTACTGATTTTGTTCAATAGTCTAAAAAGATAGTCACAAAAAGACTACACCTTTTTGTGAAATGAATACCAGGAAGCCCTTAATTTTTAAAAATATAGGGGCTAGCTGGTGGCATGGAGACTGGGGTGGCTGGATCCCATACAAGGTGCATGTGCATGCACACCCAGAATCTCGATGGGAGAATGGAGGAGAGGGGACTGCAGCATGACCATCCCCCATAGGAGGTGCTTTCTCATTTTCATTCTTTCTCTCTGTCTTTCTCTGGTGAGCACATGCTCCCTACAGCAAATTAAAAAAAAAAAAAAAAAAAAAAACTGTAATAAATGTTGATAATTGTAAAAGTAAATTTTCCAGTATTTCTCTTCAGTTTTGATTCTGTCTTCACCATTCTATTCTTTACCCATTGCATTTTCATAAAATGTTTGAAATTCTTTTTTTTTTTTTTTTTTGAGAGAGAGAGAGAGAGAGAGAGTTTTTGCTTTTAGGGCACGTGTGGTTGCCAGAGAAAGAGAGACAGAGACAGAAAGCGAAAAATCACCCCCCAGAGAGAATTGGCCACACCACAATCCCTTCCCCATTCTCCTCCGGTGATTTTGGGCACACATGCACACGTGCTAGGTGGGAGTTTCAAGTCACTGTGTCCGGAACGCAAACAGCTGTTGGCCATGTGGGAGTTCAGCACCATAACTACTACGCCACCTGCTGTCTTAAAATATTTGAAATTCTAAGATTTTCTTAAATAAAAAATCTGCTGAGAGTTTGGTTAAGGTCAAAACAGACATCTTCACATGTGGAGTTTTCCAACCCATAAATATGCTGCACCAACATTTGTTTATGCCTTTTAAAAAATCTTTTTAAATAACACTTGGCAGTTTTTCGTGTAGAGATTTTTGCATATGTTTTACTAGATTAATTTGTAATTTTTCATGCTATGGCAGTCAGTAATTCTTTTAAGTTTCTTTTTTCCCCTTGATGGTAGACGGAAGTACAACTGACCCATGTGATACTGGCTGGGTATTCACTCACCTTGCCTAATTTTTCTTATCTATACAACCCAGTCATCTGCCAACAAGGACAGTTTTATTTTTTTCTGGGGTATAGGGTAGAGGAAGGGAAGTTGTCTAATGCATTTCCCAGGTCCCCAGAACATTACTCAAGAAACAGCATACTGGGACCAGAAGATGCCGAAATAATTACATTGTTGTACTCCCATGTAGTCAACCACAGTTCAAATCCCAGACCCAGAAACTTAAAATTCATGCTGGGCGCATGCATGCGTGCCCAAAATCCCAGAAGGGGGATAGAGGAGAAGGGATTGCAGTGTGGCCCTTCTTTCAGAAAACAAGGTGAGAAATACTTCCTTTCTGTTCAGAAATGAGTCTATCTAAGATTAGTATTTCTTTCTTTTTAACTGTTTGGAAGAGTTGCCACTTTCTTTGTATGAAGGCTTTAGCAATGGGTTCTATTACTTTAATCAATAGAGAAGTATGCAGACTTTCTCTTTCCTCTTTCTTCCCCCCCTTCTTTTCCCACCATGTTCACAGCCAAACTTGCCCCTAGGTTCCAGGACAGGAAGCTGGACGTGAGCTGGAACCTGCCACGGAGGCCATCTGACAGCTCCCACTTCAGTGGAAATGAAGGCTGAATCTGACCAGACTGCACAGTGCCGCCCTTTCTTCTTGGGCCAGTCTGTTGGTTTAAAGTTTACCTCGAATAATAAACTTTATTAGGTATGCATGATCTGGTTGGGATTTTTAGAGTAGTGGGTAGGTTATGGTCCAGACAAAACGCAGTCTACTCCTGACTGACTTGGCCTTTGAGCCTTTTGGTGTTTTCATATGAGAGCCTGGGGGAAATGAGGGGTGTCAAATATAAATTTTTAATTCACAAGATTTTAAAACCCTGCTTTTCAGAAACTTGCTGCTTAGGGGTTTTAACCATTACCCCTCAGCAAATATCCTAAGATGAGAAACTTGTAAAGTTTCTGCCCAAAACTTGGCTTCTTTTTCTGTTTTTCCATGATTCAGCCACGCAGGCATGTAAAGTTTCATAGAATACCAAAAACTATTCCTTTTCAAGTCTGGTTTCAGGCTAAAAGCAAGACTAAGCAGTAATGCTAAAAACAGCAACAATTAAAAAGCTAATCAGATAGTTGCTACAGTTAATTCACACAACACTGTCAAAAAGATCTTTGAAAAATATTTGCCTTTTTATCTTTGCATTTTTCTTAAGAATCATAAAAATAGTACTACCTTGGAAAATAAGATGTTTAGACATACATTAATCCGAGCACGTGTATACTATCAATGTGCAAAGTCTGATTCGCCTTCACACTACATGAGCAAGGCCCCTGAGGGCAGGCTCCTGTGCCTGGCTTTCTACCTTGCCCTGTCTTTTTACCACGTCCACATGGTTCGTTGTAGTTCCTGGTCCATAGTAAGTGATCAAACTCTTTTTGCAGGGTCAAAAAATAGACAGACATGAATAAATATAGAAAGCTAAATCTACCCAAATACAGAATTGTTATTCTAAAATTAATTTAAAATGTAAATAACTTAAGATTTTCAGAAAAAAAAAAAGCACTAGTTCTTGGCCTACAATGTACTGTACAAATACCAATAAAAATAATAAGCATTTTTGTGGGGTTTTTTTAATGACTTGCTTTATTTAACTTTATTTATTTATTTATTTATTTATTTATTTATTTATTTATTTATTTTAATTTGACCAGAGAGGGACAGAGTGGGGAGCGGGGAAGTCAACAGGTCTGGGACTCAAACCATGGTCGGCCATGTGAGAGTCCACTGCCCTTAACCACCACACCACCTGCTGGCCCCAATATCCATGTTTTCAAATCATCCTTAAACTCAATTATTCTTATCCATTTAACTTTCACTCATTCAATAGCTATTTCTAAAGCACTTTCTACATGTCAGTCCCAATTCTGAGCACCAGGGATGCACATATGAAACAGAGGCAAACCCTCGGCCCACTGCAGGTGAAGGAATGCTCACTGCCAGCACTTATCAGGCAAGTATTCCATAGACACCAAGTGAACACAACCACAGGGAATCTTCCCAACTCCTAGAGGATTTTATAGCCTTGCAGCAACTGAAGAACACCATCGGCCCTGAAGGTGCCTTCCCCATTTTCTTTGGTTCTGAAAATCAGCTCCTCAGATCCTATAGCTCCCCAGAAGGTCAATGCGTTTCACTCCTGCTTCAATTACAGCAACTGTACTTTTAACTATTATACACAACGGGCTTTCAGGAGAGATTTAGTGAGGGGAATGCTTCTATTTTATTTTTTAAAAAATTACATGCTTTGAACACTTTTGAGTTAATATTCGTTTCATAGATTTTCACTCTGCAGTTGATAGTTTTAGAAACCAAAGATTTTAGTTTTCTTCTACAAAATATAAGACTGCAAATTAGTTTTAATGTATTAATAGCTGATTACTAAATAAGCTGTTAGTGAAAGTGAAAAAGAGAATAACTGTATACAGAAAAAATTTAATATTCTAAATACATTTTCACAACCCTCTGTATATTTCATATCTTTCAAATGCAAAATCATTGAATTATAAGTAATTTAAGTACATTTCTTTACTTGAAAACGGGTAGTATAAATGACCACAGTAACAATGGACAATGTCAAAGAATTCAAACTCTGTTCTTTTCTAGCATTTCTGAGTTAATTATTTGTAAAGCTTGGTTTCAATATTATACTCTACACAATCACTATCCTTATTTTACTTACACTCAATTCGCATACTTCATTTGTTCAAGAAAAAGTGAGAAGTATCTTTATGTCCTTTTAGCTACCAAGGAAAGCTAAAGACTAAAATATTTAATTTCACAGAAAAGAACTACACACTGAGGATAACTGCTTCGACACATGCTATTTACAAACAGCATCGAGGTGCAGTAACACATGAGCGCTGCACAGAGCATAGGAGATCCACATCCTGGGTTTTCCCCCTACGGCTTGTTCAGTTGTCATTTTATAATAAGCAAAAGACTTGGGCAACCACATTCACATGCCAAAGGAAGAACGAGAGATAAAGGAAGAGAAGGAGGAAGCAAGGAGAGAAAAAGAAGAATGCCAAATAGGTCCAACCGAACAGTACCCTTAAAAAGTTCTTTGGGTTTGTTAGGCCACTTTCCCCTCACCACAGAAAATTAAGAGCTGATTTATTACAAAAAGTATACTGAGTTCATTTCATTATGCTGTTATTTCAACTCTTCACATGAATATATATTTCGCTACATACAGAAATCACCTACTGCAAATAGGCATACGTATCTTCAAATGCCCAAATGACACAGTTGCCTATCCACAAAACTGTTCAGGAGTATCTACAAGCAAATTACTTAACTGGAGAAAATATTATCAGCGATTATTTGCTTCTTACTTCTTTTTTATTTTTTAAGAGAGATTTTTGCTATAAGGTGTGTACACTTGCCAGAAACAGATACAGAAAGCAAGAAATCACCCGCCCCCCAGGGAAGATGGCCAGGCCATAATCCCTCTCTATTCTCCTCTAGGGATCTGCAGTATGCACACACACACACACACACACACACACACACACACACACACAGCATGGATTTTAAGGCCCTGGGTCCCGGACTTGAACTACATGGGAGTCTAGCAACATAACCATTATGCCATCTGCAGGTCTCTTGCTCTTTACTTTTTAAAAAAGTTGTCAGTTGGGGGACCAGCAGGTGGTGTAGTGATTAAGGTGTTGGACTCCTTCTTGGCTGAGTCCTTGGCCAGTGGCTTAAAACTTATGCCAGGCGCGTGTGCATGCGTGCCCAAAATCTGAAGAGGAAAATGGGGGGAAGGGGTTATAGTGCTTCCATCCCCACTGGGAGGGTGATATCTCACTTTCCCTCTCACTGTCTCTCTTTGTATCTCTACCAGGCCCTATGTCAAAAGATTAAAAAAATAAAAAGCTGGTGGGAGGGGGGTTGGTTGCATTGTTTAGGAGAGAGAAAGAGAGAGGAAGTCCTCCCCCATGGGGTCCGTCATGCTACAATCTCCTTTCTTCAGTTTCGCCATCCTGCCCGGGCTTGTGGCAGGCATCCACAACACAGGCCCAGTATGTTTTTCAAGCCACTGGAGACACCGCCACCAGCCACACGGAATGCCCTTAACCACTACTTTAAACTCATGGCAAAGCAGGTAATGTGTGTACTCACTTTCCATCATTCTTCAAGTACAGAGAGTGAGAGAAGGTAGCAGGGAGTGTAACCAAAGCCAATCAATCATAAACATTGCTCCATGAACAATCAGCAGCATCTATAAATAGCAGTTAACAAGCAAAAGCATTTTTTCCCCTGAGGAAGCATGAGATCAGGGAGGTCTACTTAATTCTTATGAGCACTCTTTTCCCTCTTTTTAAATTCAGCACCAGAAGTATACATTATGCATATAACATATTTTATAAATATATAGGTATATATGATGTGTGTGTGTGTGTGTGTGTGTGTATATATATATATAAGTATCTTACTCTGTGTTGTAAAGTTATAAGCTCTGTCTCTATACCCTAAGCATCACAAGTAACTTCCTGTCCCCAGCATACACACACATCATTCTTATCCCACCTAAAAGTCATAAACAATAAAATGAATATAATAATAAAAATGGAAAACAAACTATCTACTAGATTAAACATCTAACATATAAAACATGTGCCCAGGTTATGGGAAGCCCAGCTGTGCGAAAAGAGCCCAGATTCTAGAGCCGAACACATACAATATAGTCTATACTGACCTAAGGGCTCATAACACCATGTAATTCCCCCAGGAGGAACTCTGGCATGAATTCGACGGTGAGGAGACACACTGCAAACTGTATCTTGACTTTCTCTTTATTAAGACATCAGCCCGAGAACAGAGATTCTGCACCACAGTTTTCTCATTGGTTATTTTCCACTTTGTCGACATTTGTGGAAGATTTTCAGAATAAAAATGGAGTCATTATTGTCAACTCTGACTAAACTGAGGCCAGAAGCCGAAGGAGGAGGAGTTTTCTCATGCGATCAGGCCTGAGATTACTGTTTGGAGAATTCTGCCAGAACCATCGCCTTGCATGGAGACCACTGCAATCTGAATTCAACGAAGACAAGTGCCCAGAGACTGTCCAGCCTTGGACTGACCACCCTTGTTTACTGATCCAGCTGGTAAAGGATATTTGTTCCCAAACAACTGGTATTCCCTCCCCATCTATTTGTGATTTTGCCTTTAAAAACACCCCAAGGATTTTAAGATTTCAGTGAACATGTTTAGGACTTAAGTTCTTCAGAGCTGTACCCTAGTGCAGTCCTCAAACTTATGCCCAAATGAAATCTTTTTTGCCTCAGTTTACCTTTTCAGGTTAACATGTTTTATATATGTTTGGATACTTTTTTCTTTTTTGCATTACCGAAGTAACCGACTCTTATATAGATCATTAATTCTATTTCAGGAGTTTTCCTTTTACTGTGCAAAGGCCTCAAACAGAGTTTCTACTACTTGGACACCAATTTTGCCTAAGTTAAAAATATATTTTCACTTCCAAAGAAAAATGAAATGTTGGTTACCTTAAATAGGTAAATGATTGAGAACTGAATTAACAGGTTAGCATTTCGTACAGTTTAACTGTGAAAGTAATCTCAAAAACTAGATAAGGAAGACTAGAAATGAACAAAGCCAGCTCTCACTTGGTAAGAATCAACCTCAGTAGTGACAGTGAGGGTGGTAATGGTGGCAGAATCAGGCAGAAAACAGCAAGGAAGATTCAAATTCTATTGTGCTTGCACTGCTTAAGTGATTTCCACAGTTTTCCAGAGGACAGCGGACACGTGAACGATGCCACGTGGTGCTGGCTGGCAGCACATAGCTGGAGGAAAAACTCGAAGATGCCACGAGTTTGTGTGTCTCCAGGTTAATGACAAAATCAGGGAGAGATGCTAAAAAGTACTACAGGAGTGGCTGTTTTAATTCAACATCTTATCATCAGTGTAGACTTTTAAAAGACATTGTTTAAAAACATGTCTATTCTGGGGCTGGCAGGTGGTATGATGGTGAGGGATGCTGGACACTCACATGGCTGACCATGGTTCAAGTCCTGGACCTGGCAGCTTGCTTTCTCACTTTCCTTTTCTTTCTCTCTCTCACTCGCTCTCTGGTCAAATTTAAAAAGTAATTATTTAAAGTGAAATAGAACAATTCTTTCAAAAAAGTGTCTATTTTCTGTAACCTATTGTTGATGTTTAAAAGGCTGCCATTTGGGAGCAGGCTTACCAGTCAAGATCCACTTCTCAAAAATGTTTGTGAGTGTTAGAATACCTTCTGCCATGGTGAGTTAATAAGCTTTCAAGGATTCAAGGTAAAACAAACCAAAAAACTACATGATATAGCAGAAGACAAGAAAATCAATGTGTTGAGGTATTTAACATTTATGCATCTCATAAACGTTTTCCTATGCATGTATTTACAGCCATAATGGTCTACTCTATCTACTAGATTAAACATCTAACATATAATACATGTGCCCAGGTTATGGGAAGCCCAGCTGTGCAAAAGAGCCCAGATTCTAGAGCCGAACATATACAATCAAATCCCTCTTCAATCACTGTCCAGCTGTGTGAGTTTCGCCAACTTCAGCTTATTTGTCTTTGATTCCACACTTTTAAAATGAGGATACCAGGGACCAGCAGTTAGCGTAATGGCTGTGGCACTGGACTCCCATGTAGTCGACCGTGGTTTGAGTCCCAGACCCGGTGGCTTAAACTCACGCCGGGCGCGTGTGCGTGCGTGCCCAAGATCCCGAGAGGAAAATGGAGGAGAAGGGATTGTGGTGTGGCCATCCCCTCTGGGGGGTGATTTCTCTCTTTCTGTCTCTCTCTCTCTGTCTGTCTGGTGAGCTCACGCGCCCTATAGCAAAAACCTCTCCAAAAAAGAAAAAAAAAAATGAGGATACCATAGGGCCAGCCACTGGCGTGGTGGTTAGTGCAGCTAGATCCCATCTGGCTGACCTGCAGTTTGAGTGTCAGACACAGCAGCTTGAGGAACATGCCAGGGGTGTGCACAAGCATGCATTCATGTGTGAATGCCCCAAATCCCAACAGGATAGAGAAATAGAAGAGAAGGTGTTCCAACATAACCATGCCCCATGGGGGAAGGGGGTGATGCTTTTTCACTTTCTCTCTGTCTCTTCAGTGAGCACATGTGCCCTTTGGTAAATTTTTTTAAAAATAAGGATTGTATAAATTTCTTTGCACAGTTATTGTATGTAATACAAATATAAATACACCCCAAAGAAGGAGCAGATTCAATAAATAGTAAGTAGTAAGAATAAAGTAGGTATATTAATGTCATTTGAGTCTAATTCAAAGGGAACATAATATCAATCTGTTGGTGGACCAAAAGAGTGACGAGATTTGGTATAATATTAATATTTAAATACTAAGGGGATTTTACTTTTCAAAAAACTATTTGGAAGAAGTCCTAGGGCCAGCCTCACAGCCCTAGTAGTGAAGGAAGCTGGATCCCACATGGCCACCTGTGGTTTGAATCCTGGTCTCAAAGGGCAAAATCTATTTTAATGCATGTGAAAAAATAATGTTAAAATCTTTTCTTAAAATATCTCATCTTCCTTGTTTTTAAAAAACTCAAAACTTCAAATTTTTATTTTGTTTATGTGCTAAAAAGTCCCGGAGGTTCTATTTGAATTTCTAAGCTCTAGCCATTACTGCATAAGATGAGAAAATAGAAATGGTGTAAGCTGACTGGCATGGGCTGTTGCCCGGTCTGTCCTATCAGCTGCAACTCAGTCATAAAGACCCTAACTTTCTAGTGAAAATAAAAAACAAAACTGTGAGAAGACAAAAGAAACAAACTGGCAATTAGCTGCAAAAAATACACTATATCATATATATATATATTTTTATATATATATATATAAAAAATTCATTATAATACATGTGTTTCAATTTCAGTATTTATTTCATACATGTTTCATTAGATGTATTTTTGAGTAATCTGTTTTATCTTCCTATTGTGAAAAATTTTATTTTCAATTATATATCTAACTTGTTTGGTGTTTAAAAATCCTCATTATTTTGGATATCGATTTTAAATTCAGAAAAATGCTATACTCTAGTACTAATGTTATTACTAGTTCTTTACAGAGTGACCTGAATATTGCATGTAGACATTCACATCGTGGGCAAATGATATTCCAGGTTAACAATGACATGTCCCTTCCTTTGTAATTTTGTCTGTATTTCTTTTCGTTCTTATGCCTTGACTAAGTTAAGTAGTAACAACATGAAGAGTAGGTGGCTGCAGGCACTACTCTAAATTTTCACTACTAAGTGAGATGTTTGCTAGAGGTGTTAATATACACCACATTATAAACCCTTCAATCCACTGGAGTGCTACAATTTTTGCTTGAAAGAGTCATGTCTTTCAAAGTAATTAAGAAAAGCAAAAAGAAAAATAATAATCTCTTAAGCATCAGGAAAACTAATTTTCTAGTAAGGGTTTTTAAGTCTATTTGGGTATTAATAGATTTTATGGTAGTATTTATAGTATCTATCTTAACACGGATCTGTTAATTAACATAACTATTGAACAGAAGACATAATATCATTGACTGCATGTATTTAATTCATAATGTTCAGACATTTTCATTTCATTAGATAATACTTGTAAAACAATTTAGCATGATCACAATCACAAGAGAAACACTTTTGTACAAAAGGATCACAGTCACCTGCACTGTTTTAAGTCTCTTAACCAGTCTTCCAGGCGCCAAACTTACCCCATTACTGTGCACTATTCCCAGGATGACCATTACAAAGCACAAATGTAACCATGATATTTATCTCCAGATTCTTTCAAAGGCTTGCCATTGTCAGGGGATCAAATCTGGCACTGTAGACAGGGCAGCTATATTCTTTCCTCTCCAGCATCAACTCCAGCCCCTGCCTGTCTCACCATCACTGTTCTAGTCACACTGACTGTGGATCTCTGACTATGCCAGAGATCTTGGGTACTGCATCTATCTCGAGTACTTGGCCTTAACAACCTTAGAACTTCATTTGTTCTTCAAACTTCAGCCCATGCCATACTCTGTGAAGCCTGTCCTGATTCCCTTCACTCTAGGCTGGGTGTCTTTATGCTTACCTCCATCACAGCAAGACAACCTTATCAGGTATTTGTCTGGCAGTAAGTTTGTATCCCCACAATGAAAGCCTCTCAGGTGAAGTCTATGCCTTATCTTTGCATCCTATTGTACCTACCAAATATTAGGCATGCGACAGAGATACAAAAAACAGTTGGGGCAAGGGGATAACTGAATGAGTACATTTCCAAATCACTTCATTTTCCGAATCACTCCAAATGACTAGTTCTTATTCATTCTTACCATAAATCTAAATGTATTCAACATGCGTTTATTTCTCACCTGCAATGTGCCAAGTACAGAGGGCATTACATTTTAATAGTGAAAAGTAGTAGGAAGGTATCAGAGTTTTGATTGACAGTGAACTTAACTGTATCACCCAAGTCCAAAACTCAGAATTTGTCTCATTCAGACCCGATTTCCATTAGAGAAATGATCTGGCTCTACACAACTTAGAGTATTATATAAGAAATAGGGGAAGAAAGGGATGAAGTGATGACATACCAGAGACACCATGGCCCAACCGGTCTTGTTGTAGATGAACTCCAAGTTGTTTCTTCTTAAATAGAGCAGACCGCCAACCAGCGACACTAGTAAGGCCAAGGCGATGGTGCCAGAGTAGTTGGGTGGTCTGAAAACCCGAATCTGCAAAAATGCAATGAAAATTTGAAAAGTGAAAGAAAAATATGAACGTTTTCACTTGATCATATTCTAGCCTTTTCAATGTTCAACACAAATAACTAAGAAACATGCCAGCCTACTTTTTATGTCTGGTACTATTACGTATACTCTCTTTTTTTAAATTATTTTATTTAACTTTATTTATTCATTCATTTATTTATTTTAATTTGACCAGAGAGGGACAGAGCGAGAGAGAAAGTGAGAAAGAAAGCCGCCAGGTCCGGGACTTGAACCGCGGTCAGCCAAGTGGGAGTCCAGCACCCCTAACCACCACGCCACCTGCTGGCCCCTACGTAAACTCTCTTTACAAGTCAAAAATAATAAACCTTAAACATCGCGGCACTCTATGGCAGAATCTGAACGACTAGAAGGTAGAAGAGCATGGAGCATATAAAGACGGTGATATAAAGACAGTGAGAGAGGAGAGTGAGAAATGGCAGAGGGTGAGAGGGAGGGATTTAAGGGAAAAAGAAAGAAGCAAAACATTTGAGAGACACAGAAATGGAAAACTTATCCATTGATGGTAATGAGTATGGTAAGATCTTTGACTGAGCCAATATACAGTGTATTCCTGAGGGGAAATTTTATTTGGTATGTTGTAATGATACACAGTGACTGAATCTTAAAAAAAAAAAAAAAAAAAAAAAAAAAAAAAAAAAAAAAAAAAAAAAAAAAAAAAAAAAAAAGTAAAATAAATAAATAAATAAAAACATCATGACCCTATAAAAAACATGATCTTTATGTTCAGAGAATACACTCAAGTGTATGCAGTATGCAATCCCTATTTTGGTAACTATGCAGAGCTGCTCTGGTACACCCATGAAATATGGGATCATCTAATAACTGGTAAGAGGTACAGTGGCAGTGTATTATTTGTATTATTTCAAAGAGAGGCCATTTAAAGGGCTATTTTAACAGCTTTATGAAGTTATCTCCACATACCACACAAGCACTCACTCAGTGTGTACGATTCAACAGTTTTCACTTTATTCACAGATATGTAGGACTGTCATTATAGAATATTTTAATCACCCATTTATCCTTCCCAATAGCCCACTCTAAGTAACTACTGTCTCTGTAGATGTTGCTGTGTTGGATTTTTACATAATGCATGGTCTTTTGTAACTGGTCTTCTTTCATTCAGTACAATGTTTTCAAGGTTCTGTGTTGTAGCATGTACCAGCATTTTATTCCTTTTTTAGAGCCAAATAATACTCCATTGTATGAATATACCATATGTTATTTATCCATTCATCGACTGATGGATATCTGAGTTGTTTCCACCTCTGGGCACTGATGAATAATGCTGTTATAAACATTCACATACAAATGTTCACGAGAACATGTATTTTCATTTCTCTTGTATAACCACCCCGGAGAGTAATGATGGGTCAAATGGTTAGGCTTTAACAGCCAGGAATCCCCAAAGTGGCTGCATCACTTCTCATCCCATCACAGCGTATGTAAGGTTTGAGGTTTCCACTTCTTCATCGACACTTTTTACCTGACTTGATTCTAGCCTTCCTAGGGGGTGTAAAACAGTACCTCACTGTGGCTTTAGTCTGTATCTCCCCGATAACTAGAAATGTAAGCATCTTTGTGTGTATAGGTCATTTGTGTGTTTTCCTGGCCTATTTAGGTCCTTTGTCCATTTTAATTAATTAATTAATTATTTGTTGAATTGCAAGAGCTCTATCTAAGACAACTTTACAAAGTATATGAAAAAACAGAAATAAGTTTAGGTGCCAAAAAAAAAAAAATGAAATCCATGCATAGGTTTTTTAATGACATGTTTTTCATAAACTTTCAAAAGACTTTTAGTATATACACTAGATGTAAGTTCTCAGAAAAATTATTTGAAATATTTTCCACCATTGTGTGGATTAATAAGATATAATGGTATGAATTCATGATTTCTACAGCATACACAAATCTTAGATCTTATAACTTTTCCTACTAAAAGATTTGACTAAATGAATGCTAGGCAGAATAGACAGGTAGATATAAGGTGGGCCTGGAATAAACTGTTTTCTCAAAACATAAAGAAGTACTTAGAAGAAAGTGATGGAGGTACGTCACGAGAACACAGGAACTACAAATGTAGAACGATTTTAGCACCAACATAATTAAGAACAGCAGTAAGTTACAAACTACTAGGACAAATTCATATCTTGTATTCTTTTATAAAAAGACAGTCAGGTACAACCACAGGAGAGGCTCAGGAAAAGCATTCCCAGGTCCTACAGACAGCAGGCTGAAAAGGCAATGGGGACTTAGCCCCCTGACTTGACTGGCGGTTCTGAGAGGAAGACAAGGCAGGGCAGGGTGATCTGTTTGGGACTGACTAGTCTGAATAACATCAGAGGGCTCTGAGCTATCGGGAGGTAATCCCTAGTTGCCTGCTACGAGGCTCTGGGGTGATGAAGGCAGAAGAGTATTGTCTGCTGGTGTGCAGGGGCCACAGAGAAGGCATGGCTCTGGACCTTGCCTATCCAGGCATGCTGTTGGCTGGACCTTTTGCCATCTTCAAGACTGGGCTAGCCCCAGGAGGAACCATCTTTCCCTGGCCAGGAAGTTTTGTTCGGATATCAAACATCATATTTACAAAAAATCTGAAATAATACAAAATGCATTTCTTGTGTCCACATATATGATGACTGCCAGATAGGAGAGAAGGACTCTTGCTTACAGTAGAATACTGAGGGCCAGGTAGAAATATGGAAGGAGAATTCAAAGAGAAATGATCATTTTGCAGTCATCATGGTAAAAACTGATCAGGCAAATCCACCAACATATGATAAATCTAACAGAAACTTTTGATGAGGAACATGATATTTACATGACGTTTGGGTTTTTCCACACAGCTTATTTGTTGCGGGGGGGTGGGGGGAAGAACAGTAATTTCACAGTGAAAAAATGAGAAACACCAGATGTCCAAAATGAATATCACCAATGATGGACTGAAGGACATTATGTGCCTACACAGGACTAAAACAAATCTGTCCCATGTAGTACTGTGGTCAAATACAAAAGCAGAATCCAGTCGTGGGCACACTGCAGGCAGATCATTCTATTTAAAACGTGGGAGGAACTATACACTTGAAAATGTCAGCATCTTTAAAGGATTAGACTATAGAAATGTTCCTGATCAAAGAGACTTAAAAGAGCTGACAATGAAATGAAATGCCTAAATTTAGAAGGGATCTTGTACTGAAGGTAGGCAAATGTTACAAAGGACGACGACAAGTGTTAGGTCAATTGACAAAAACAGAACATGGGTAGTAGTAGCTCACATAGAAGTATTACATTAATATAAACCAGTGTGTCAGTAACTACACTGTACTTATGTATTTTTTTAAGAAATATAATTCACCCCAATTCCTTTTTTGGGGGGGGGAGAGGAGACTGTGTGTGTGTGTGTGTGTGTGTGTGTGTGTGTGTGTATGCTTGTATATAGAGACACAGGGATGGGAGAGAGAACGAGAATTACAAAGTAAATGGGGTAAAATGTTAACAATAGGTGATTCTAAATAAAGGGTATACATTGGTACTATTTGTACTATTTTCACTTTAAAAGTACTTTTAAAGTTCAAAATTATTTCCAAATAAAAATATTTGAGAAATAATTTTTTACAGACATATATCTATCATATAAATGCATAAGTGTGATATGTAGACAGGTTAGAACCATTTCTGATTCAAATTTAGTGGTTGATGTTGCGCTGGAAGGTTGGCACAGTGGGAAAACACGCTGCTCTGGGAAGGTTGCTGGTTCACATCAAGACTGTCATCTTGTGATGGCATCTCTCTCTCTGTCTCAATCATTCATGGAATAAATAAACTCAAAAAACAAATATTTCTTATAAAGAATTAATAGTATACTCTCTTTCAATATTAGCTTCATGTCTTGAATCAAGTGATACATTTCCTAGCAAAATTATTTGGCAAAGCATATAAAAAATAAAACTGAACAATGAAATAAGTTTAGTCACCAAAATATTAAAATCTATTGTATCATTATATAGTACTACTGGTACCATATGAAAGGTAACTACCTTGATTCAGAGTAAGTATGTTTATGCTTTATGATTAATATTAATGCTTCTGTATTACTTCTACGATGAATGTACTATAAAAATAATTGCCTATAATTGTTCATTGTCAAAAATAATGACAAGATTAGTGAGTAAAAAGCCCTAAGCCCTCCATGTGGACATTAACCATCATCAATGTTTTGGTTCATTTTCTTCCAGAATAAACTGTCTATATCTACTTACTTATACTCATTTTTATGCTTTACAACAAACTACTAGATCATATCATAAATATTATTTTTCTAATTTTTTCATTTGTTATATTTTATACTTCATTCTATGAGAAATATTCTTGCAAACCATATTTTTGCTATACCACAGACATGGCGCCTATGGTTAGAATGGTCATTCCAATTTACAGTTTCCGAAGAACTAAATATGAGTAGTTATTTTTCACATGCTCTAAAGTAGGAATTAGTATTTCTTTTTAGAGGGTTTAGCCTTAGGGCACATGTATTCACTGAAGAAAGAGACAGTGAGAGGGAAAGTGAGAAATCAACCCCCAGTGGGGAAGGCAATGCTGCAATCCCTTCCCCTCCATTCTCCTCCTGGGATCTTGGAAACACAAGCACATACATCTTACATGAGTTTCAAGCCACCGAGTCCAGGACTTGAACTGTGATCTGTCATGTGGGAGTCCAGCAACGTAACCACTATGCCATGTACTGGTCTCAGCATTAGCCTTTTTCATGTCCCCCCAAAATAAAAATGATACATCTTGTTTTTCAATTAGAATTTCTTTTTTCTTTTTTTTTTGAGAGATTTTCACTGTAGGGAGCGTGCGCTCGCCAGACAGACAGAGAGAGAGACATAGAGACAGAAAACGAGAAATCACCCGCCAGGGGGGATGGTCACGCCGCAATCCCTTCTCCTCCATTCTCCTCTCGGGATCTTGGGCACGCACGCACACGCGCCTGGCGTGAGTTTTAAGCCACCGGGTCCAGGACACGAACCGCGGTCGACTACGTGGGAGTCCAGCGACATAGCTATTACGCTAACTGCTGGTTCCCATCAATTAGAATTTCTTTGATCACCAAAAGCACTGAAACATTTTGGGCCTCTGAAATTACTTTGTTATTCATCTACTTCATACTGGTTGTAAAAACATCAATGAACCAGAATTCTAAAAACCTTCTGATTTCACCTAGTAGTCAAAGTTAGGCTTATCACATGTAGCCATCACACTGTTTTCTCAAGACGAGCAGAAATAGCCCTAAAGAAAAAGGGAAATATTCCAGTGGCCTCATTACAATGCTCTAACAAACCAAGCTAATCAGCCTATTATTGAAACCACAGGGATCAAACACATACATGAACATCTGTTCTGTCAGCAATCCACTTTGCTAGTTGTTCAGCTGCAAACCCAATTCTTTGAAGATCAAAAGTATCAGCTCTCTTGGGCCTGCCTTTTGGAGGAAAATGCATAAACGTAGGAGCAGAGTTCATGTTGAGCTGTAAAACATGAGTTTAAGAAAACATTAAATATAGTACCATCCCAACATTTTTTATATAACATTTTACGCTTTTCCTACACAAATTTCAGAAAACATTTTATTTATTATGAAAATTAAAATAGGTGCTAGAGCTGAGGTTCTGTTTTCATTCATCTTAATGTGATCTTGAATGGGAAGGAACTCATGAATTCAAGTATGCTCATGGAACACTAACATTTTACACATTTTTAAAGCTTATTTATTTATCTGGGGCTCCTAACAAGGAATCCCACAATATTTCTGCCCCAGCCTCCCAGTCGGATCTTAAAAGCATGCTACATCTAGCATGTTCAGGTCAGTCCGGGATCTGACATTGGCCTCCCATGTAGTTTCAGCACTGAGCTGCTGTTCCCTATTGCTTACGCCAACACAGGCAGCCTCAAAGGCCCCGTATTTAACATACATGGCACATATTCACAGCGGTACTCTCTTCAGTGTTTTAATCGGCCATCTCATTCTTTTTCTTTCTAGAATTCTCTAACTAGGGTAAAAACATAAGTAACTCTTATGGTTTGGATAATGGTTTATCTGTCCCAAAAAGTTCATGTTTTCAAATTTGGTCTTAGTGAACAGTAATTAGAAGTCCCCCAAAAGTTTATATATTAGGACTTGGTTGTACTAAGTGAAAACTTAATCCCTTTATAGTATCCCAGCGTGGGGTCTCAGGGTGTGAACAAATGATGAGAGCAAGACCGCTGTGGGTAAGTTCTGTTGTGTGTGCAAGAAGAGGAAATGAGGCAGACAGAGGTCACATGGATATACATCAGAGCAAGAAGCTCATGGACAGCTACTCTGCACAAGATCCTACCCTCTGCCATGCTATAGCATCACCAGAATTTGTCCTCTGGACCTTCAAACCATGAGCTGAATATATCTTTATTCATTAGAAATTCATCCAGTCTCATTTCTGTAAGAATGCAATAATGGACTAAGTGACTGAAAGTGCAAAATAGAAATGTAGTGATTTGGCACTATTTGGCACTATATTTCACTTCACAAGCAGTTACTAAAGAAAAAGTACTGGGATTTGAGGAAAAAAATAATCAATTATGGAATTAATTTCAAACAAATTATAAGTAGACTAAATTGCTTATTAAAAATGTAAAGACTTTACTTTTTTCTATAAACAAACTGAATTTAACAGACTGCAAGTGAAATCTTCAATAACAGTCTTTTTCGGGTGAACTTGTCCATTAATTCAACTGTCTTAAAATGATTATATATCATAAATACTTTCTACAGCTAATTTCCTTTAGAAAAGTATACCAACAGAATACTATCTCAGCATAAAGGTGTTTATTAACAATGTAATATCTAAAAGCATTTATTAAGTTAACTGTCATGGAACAAATTATAAAAGTATATACGGATTAAATTTCTGTTGCTCAAGGATTATGAAAAAATATCTTAAAATGAAAGGTCAAGAGATTTGGGGCCCCTGACTTGCTATATAGTTCAATATTTCCTAATAAGAAGAATGAAAGTCAAAATAAAATCAAATTACATTCATATTAGATTATTGCTGACATCAAAGTAAGCATACAACTGAAAAATCTTAACTACCTATAATTACAAAGTTTACAGTCACAACCAAAAGAGCCCCTGCCTATAAATGAATCCTGACATA